AATATATATAAATGAGATTGTATTCATGGAGCATGTAATAAACAAAGCCTGTCATAAGTCCGCCAGCGATCACTTGAATGCCTTGACTGTATGACTGGTTGTGGTAATTAAATTTATTAATTATTCACTGAGTTTTGCAAAAACTCAAACCCCCCTTCTCTTCCAAACTCCCAGGTACTAGGAAAGCAGCCTTGATTTTTTCGACTTGAAGCTCTGCAATTCTTCTCCGCAGAAGGTTTACAAATGTAAACATTTAATATTTCTGTTATTTCCTTTATGGATGTATACAATTGAATTTCTATTAATCAGTTTATTATTTGAATGCTCCGACAGTTCCAAATAGGGGTGTGTTGTAAATTAAATATTGGCGGGGACGTTAATATGGCATTTCAGCACTACACTAGGTACAATTAAAATGAATTGATGTACAGATAGGCTGGGCAGGTGAACCAAGTAAGCCCCTTATTTGTGATTATAAATTTTAATTGTGAATAGGCCCAGGGTTATATTATTTATGTGGTTATTTGAGATTGGGGCCAGACGTTTTATATGCGATCGTACCATGGGTTTTAACTGTTTTTAAGAAAATCGGGACAGATAGGTCGATAGATTTAGAATGAGTTAAGGCTTACTACGGGCCTCGGGGGCCTTAAAGCCTTACCTGGCGCCCCATAGTGCCCGGTCCCGTCCCACGGAATCGGGTCCGTGACAAAACCCACACCAAAAATTACTTTGAAAATGGTGTTCTTATATTTAAGGGATTTTAAGATTAAGTCTCATTTGGAGCTAAAATATTTGGGGTGTTTTTGAGGGTAATCGGGGTAGAAAATATTTTGTAATTGTGGTTGTAACAATTTTGCCGCATAGTGAATAATTTTTCTTGATTGTCGTTTGACAACGGCCGTGGTTTTTCCTCCAACTTGGGGAGTTTTCCCACGTTAAACTATCGTGTTCTCCTTTAATTTCTCAGTTATTATTTTTATTTTTTCCTCATTTTGTTCCTGCTTGAAAGCCGATCCGAAGGGCGGGAAAAATACGATTTTCCCAACAAGTGGTATCAGAGCCAAGTTGTTTAGGCGGAGCTTTTTAAGTGTTAAAATAATTCTTGTAATTATAAGTATGCTCTGGTGGTTGCGGCTTGTCCCTGATCTTCCACATCAGAAATACTGTTGTTAGAAATTATTTTTATTTTAAAAGCAGGTGGATGTTTTTTTTGGAAGTCTTGAAGCGGGTGGAGCTTTTGCTTTGGTTGTGCTTTGAAGTAATCCCGTTTTTTTTGGGGTTTGAATGTCCTGACGATAATTATTGAAGTTATTCTATTTCTGATAATATACCGTGCAGTAACTTCTGTCTAGAAGCCGGAATTTTAAAGTGGGACGCACTTTGTGAACCCCTCCGTCCAACTGAGATTTTACGTGGAATGGTAATATTGTCTAGGAGATCAATTGTGATCTTTCCTGGTTATTTGCCGAATCGGTTTTACTTCACTAATTATTGGGTTCACTGTTATAGCACAAGTAAAGCATGTCGGCTATGAGATGTGAAGATTGAGAAATATGTGAGATTGAGAAATTTGACGGGAGAATGAATTTTGCACTGTGGCAAGTGCAAGTCAAAGACGTGTTGATTCAATCTGGACTGCATAAGGTTTTGAAAGGTAAACCAGTCAGCGGAAAGAATTCAGAAAAAGACAGTAGTAGTGGAGACTCAGAAAAATCCAAGATTAGCGATGAAGAATGGGAGGAGCTGGATATCAAAGCGGCAAGTCAAATTCGCATGTGTCTATCAAAAAATGTTCTTGCTAATGTGTTTGGATTGTCCACCAAGAAACTGGAAGAATTGTACCAAGGAAAAAAATATATCCAATAGGTTATATTTGAAGAAGCAATTTCATACGTTGAAATTGGCAGAAGGTACAAAGCTGTCAGATCACCTGAGTGTTCTTAACAGCATCGTCTCTGAATTGGAAACTCTTGGAGTGCAAACCGAAGATGAATGCAAAAACCGAAGATGAAGATAAAGCCTCTCCGACCTCATCCTGTCTTTCCTTCCGCATATGAGCACATGAAACCTTGTTCTGAATATGGTAGTAAGGGGGAAGTGATGTATGCAGATGTGGTTAGTAAGCTCCTTACTAGAGGAGAGAAGATTGAAATGAATGAAAATAAATCATATGAGGTTACTTTATTTGCTCTCGGTACCAAGAAAAAGAATAATAAAAGCTCTGGAAAGAGGAAGGTTGTCTGCTGGATTTGTGGTCAAACTGGACACGTGAGGAAGGATTGCCCGAACGGTGGAGCTGATTCGGCTAAAAGCTCTAACGTTGTTGCTGCCAATGAGATCTCCTGTAGTGAAGGAGATGATGTGTTCTCTCTGTAATTGAGAGATGTGTGTCCTCATCGCATGATTGCTACCCGTTAGGATGCCATGAAAGAGGACAGATTATTGGTAGCTGGTCCACGAAAATGCGCACGGCATTGGTTGACAGTTGATGCAAAGTGTGTGGTAAAAAAAAAATATGTCGATGGCTAATGAACTTTTGTCGATGGCTAATGAACTCTCGGAAAAGTCAACAGGAGGGTTTGCACCAATAAAACTATTTAGCGGGTATCCGAACATGGCCCAATGAAAATTCTTGGAGTTCGGTAAAGTGGTTCCAAGTGGCGATACTCTTTCTATAGTGGAAGTATGAATAATTCTTGCGATAAGATAATGTTGTCGGTAGCAGACCAAGTGTTGTGTTTTTTTATTTTATTTTTCAAGTGGAGATTGTTAGCCGCCGTTTGTTTAAACAAAAGAAAAAAAAATAATAAAAAAAAATTAGTTTTTTGCTTAATACGCCACATCGGAGAGATAAGCAAAGTGAAATAAGTGATTGGCTAAAAAATGGAAGCAATGTTTAGGTTTCTCATACCACACAAAACACACCAAAAATACTTGAATGTGTTTTTTATATTAGGGATTTAGAGTAAGTCTCTTGGAGTCCCTTGGGAGTATAAAATATTTGGGGTGTTTTGAGGGTGTCGGGTAGGAAAAATATTTTTGTAATTGTGGTTGTAAACAATTTGCCGGCATTGGTGAATATTTTTCCTTGATTGTCGTGTTGAACAACGCCGTTGGTTTTTTCTCACACTTGGGGAAGTTTTCCAACGTTAAACTATGCGTTTCTCTTTAATTTCTCAAGTTATTATTTTATTTTCTTCACTTTGTTCCTTGCCTTCATTTGTTCCTGCTTGAAGCCGATCCGAAGGGCGGAAAAAATAGCGATTTTCCCAACAAATCTCTTATAAAAATATATTTTATTCATTATAATGTCATTTTATCTAGAGATATATCATATGAATAAATAAAAAGTATTTTATTTTTAAGATGAATAGATTACTTTTTATTTTAATATTTATGTATATAAATATTAATCTTTATCCAGGAAAATAATTTTATTTATTAAATTGAGTACAATTCGAAAAAAGAATATTATTGTAATTAAAATTTAAGTTTATGGTATTAGGAGAAAAAGTTAGATTTACGGTACAATTAAAATTACCCGTAAAGTTTGAGGTTTTTTTTAATGATTTAGCTCAAATTCTACGGAAAAAATTTCCAAAATGAATTCTACAAATTTAAAAAGCTTACACTTCGTTTGATATAAATAAATTCAAAAAATATGGAATTCATTTCTAAATAAATGAATTCTAGTAAAATTCATCTGTGAATGATTTTTCATTATTTGGCATGATTAATTAAAAATATGTAATTCAATTGATTCTACATAATTATGTATGAAATAAATTCATAACTGAAAATTCATTTGCTTTTATTTTTTAAAATATCCTCGAAATAGTAATTTCACAAAAATAAATAATAATACCAATTATATTTATATTATGCTATATACCAATTATATTTATATTATGCTATATAATTTTTTTATATTTTTATTAAAATAAATAAATATAAAATAAGAGTAAATATTAATAAAATTAATTCAATTTAATTAGTGATAAATGGTATATTTAAACTTGAATCTATATATTTAAATATATTATTATAAAATAAATTATATCCAATTCATAGAATTGAAATTCTATATTTTTTTTTCACATAAAAAATTTTCATTAAATTTTTTTGATTTTATAAATCCAAAATACAAAAAAATTAAATTTTGGTTAATTGTAGTATACTGCGATCGAGTTTAATGGGGGAATTCAAGCATTATTCCGAACTAAGAATAATCCTCAGCGACAGTGGGCCATAAGTCCGGAACCATCCGCCTGTTCAAGCGGTTATAACTCAGATCCTCCTGACCGCGATAGGTTGGTGGTGCAGTTTATATATAAGTACAAACTCAACACACGAATCGGCGAAGAATTTTGAAGTTGAAAAACTAAAGAACATATAGTAATTTCACAAAAATAAATAATAATACCAATTATATTTATATTATGCTATATAATTTTTTTATATTTTTATTAAAATAAATATATAAAATAAAGTAATATTAATAAAATTATTACATTTAATTAGTGATAAATGTATATTTAACTTGAATCTATATATTTATATATATTAATAAAATAAATATATCCAATTCCATAGAATTGAAATCTATATTTTTTTTTCACATAAAAATTTTTCATTAAATTTTTTTGATTTTAAATCAATCAAAAAATTAAATTTTTGGTAAATTGTAGTATACTGCGATCGAGTTATGGGGGAATTCAGCATTATTCCGAACTAAGAATAATCCTCAGCGACAGTGGGCCATAGTCCGGACCCCATCGCCTGTTCAAGCGGTTATAACTCAGATCCTTCCTGACCCGAATAGGTTGGTGGTGCAGTTTATATATAAGTAAAAACTCAAAACGAAATCGCGAAGAAATTTTGAAGTGAAAACTAAGACATGAGACCTAACATTGTTACCGAGGTAAGCTTTCGATCTTTTACTTTGTCATTTTCCTTTATTCACCTTTCAATTTCAGTGCTTTCTGTTAGGGTTTCATAATTCCTCTGCTTATTTGGTTGCTCGTAAAATGCGGGGAAAAAATAAATGGAAACGGAAAATTTTAACCTCAATTTCTCAAAATAAGCTGCATATATAGATGTACTGCTAATGATTGACCCAAGGCTCTACTGAACTCTCTTAATTACTATTTCTGTACTTGGTTGACGATATTCTGTTTCTAGCTTTCTTTGTTGATGTATTTTCAGCAACAGAGGAAAAAAGATTTTTTTTTTTTCGTTTCTTGCAGAATGTTCTGTTAATCTGCATGTTTGCAGCGTTTTCATATTAGTTTTGGAGCACTGAAATTATAATGTTAGAAAAAACAGAGAGAGAAATCTAATGTCTCGACCTTTGCTGAGTTAATTTGTTAAATCCCTATGTATAAGAGTTTCTCCTTGTATTGTTGAAGTTGGATGGTGAAATGTGGTTTGGTTTAATCCTTACCATGATGGTTAAAAACAAACTTTAGCTGATGCTTAGAATGATGTTAGGAAGATAAAGAAGATCAGAGAATTAAATAATTTGTTTGGCCAAATTAACTAGATTATAATATGCTGCCAGTACAAAATTAGTTGGAAAGCATGTAATATCACGTCTAGTTATCAGTTTTCATTTGGTTTTTTTTCTTTTCATCAGTTACACATGTTGTTTTTATTGGTCAACAGGCAGGATTGCCCACTAGAGTGGCGCAATGGTGGGAAAACATTCCATTCCTAACTTCAGCAGTGGTGATCATTTGTGGGACTATTTACTTTATTTGCCTTTTGATTGGATATGACTCCTTTTATGAAGTATGCTTCTTGCCATCTGCTGTTATATCACAATTTCAAGGTAAATTCCAATAAGTAAATGCATTAATAGGTGATTATGAAGAGAAGTAATCTTGAGAAATCATTTTATATGAAAACCAAATTCCCCAAGTGAACTTGTAGTTTTCCTTATTTTCTGGGCTATGTGCTTAGCAAGGCCTTGTTTAGCTTGAAATCTGGATTGGAAACTTAAGTCATGAGATTGAGACCAACCATAACCAAACTGTCCTTTTAACTTTTTTAGGCTGCTATAGGACTTTAGACAGTTATGGCCAATTAGAGACCATCAATGTCAGAATACATCATTGTCTTATATTCTTGAATATAATCCAGTTCTATTCTTGGCTTGGGAAAGGATCAGATCATGTTATTCTCTTTTCTTCATAGCACATTCTACATTTGTGATCATTGGCTTTACTCTTTTGGCGTGCAGTTTACAGGATTTATACTTCTATTCTTTTTCATGGTTCGCTGCTTCATGTGTTCTTCAACATGCTGGCTTTGGTACCACTGGGTTCTGAATTGGAGAGAATCATGGGATCTATCCGCTTGCTATACTTAACAGTTTTATTGGCTACAAGCAATGCTATATTTCATCTAATTATTGCATTGCTGGTAGCTCGTAATCCTTTTCATCAATTTCAGTATCTCATGGATGAGTGTGCCATAGGCTTCTCCGGAATCTTATTTTCAATGATGGTAATAGAAACAAGTTTGAGTGGAGTCCAGTCAAGGAGGTTTGTCTTTACTAGTTCGTGCTATGAAATTGCATTCTGAAATGTTTGCCATTAGTAATCGCTGTTTATTTGACTTTGCTACATCTTCAATGTTTTTCTCCACATAAATCAAGGCCAATTTATATTTGACATCTGCTTTTTTTCGTCAACATGCATGGATGCTTATGAATGAGATCTCTCTGATATTCTTGTATTGTCTGAGTAAAAAGTATAATGAACTTTTTGTATTTGGAACTGTGATAAAATTCCTTTTTTCTTTTATAGTCCAATATAGTTTATGTGTTTTGTTAGTTTATTCATCCAATTGAGATATAATGTATTTCCTTCCTTTTGCAGTGTGTTTGGTCTCTTTAATGTTCCTGCTAAGTGGTAAATGCTTTAACTTTTCCAACAATAAACATCACGTACACATGTACACCCATGTACACAAGTGCACGTGAATACGCATTTTATGCCTTATTATTATATTCTCTTGCATTTGCTTGAAGATGTGTAACCTTTAATTGAAATACGAGCTTCAGGTATGCATTTATCTTATTAATAGTATTCCAGCTTCTCATGACGAATGTCTCTTTACTTGGACACCTATGTGGGATCTTGTCCGGATTTGCGTGTATGTAGTCCCTGATTCTGTTTTAAATATGTCTCATTGCATTTTGTGCCACTATGTTGACATTTCTCATTCAATTTTTTTTTTTCAGATACCTATGGCATATTCAACTTTCTTATGCCTGGATCATCTTTCTATTCTTCCATTGAGTCCTCTTCTTTGCTTGTAAGTATTTGGTTAGGCAGTTTTCCTTTCCTTTCCTTTTTTTTTCTGGCTATTTAATTGGCTGAGGAGCATAAACCTCTTATTAGTTTACTGATTTGTGAATTCCTTGTTTTACTGTCAAGGTTACAACTAACAGTATGTCCATTATCAAGTGATTCAAAGAATTATAAACTTGCGTCAACTTAATGAAATGTATTTGTATGTGCTGAGTATTTGTGGATGTGTCTTCCCAAATTTTTTTTTTTTTGTTCTTATGTGCTCAGTTACGATGTCAGAGAACATTCTTTTATCTCTTGCTTGTGCCTTGTGATAGTTTTTAGGTCATGCTGATTGAAGCATTTGTATTATAAATGGAATTTTTCAAAGCATGATGCAGGCGTTTAATTGATCAATACTTCAGTTCTGAACCGAAAGCTTCCTAAAATTCCTAGTTTGAGGTTTCTGTTGTATTTGAACAATTAAAGCCATGTTCCTTGGTTTGCATTAGCAATGTCCTTTATTTTAACTTTACATTTCGCATTCATTTTTTATCATAGTCCACAAGTCAGTGTGATATGTTCTGTTTTTAATTTTCAGTCCTCTTGCGTGAGGCGTCCTAAATTTATTATGTGCACTGGTGGGAATCCAACAGCGCATATACCCACATATGCGGGTCAAAATACAACCTCCAGGTAAATATAAGAAGTTAGAAATTTGCTTATGACACTAAAATGTTCACTCATGCGGCATTTCTAACTTCTTATATCTAATACGCAGTGGATTGTTATCTGGAAACATGTGGAGGAACTTATCTTCATGGATGCCTCAAAGGGAAACATCTATTCAGGTACGTGTTTAGTATGGAGGTCCCTTTCATGTTGTATATAACTTGTCTATGTTACTATTATTTGGAGGCGATTACACTGGCCACTGCTGCACCTGCCCAAACAGGTAATTAAGAGTGCTTGGTAAGGAATGACCCAAACCTGGAGCAATATCAGATAAAATAATAATTCTCAAAACCTAGGCCTCTGCATCACACAATGTTTATGCTGTGCATTCTAACTTTTATAGCAGGGTCTCTGTGAAGATGCCAGTGTGATTATCATGGCAAACTTTTTGTTTGCTTATTGTATCTGTAACTTTTATGGCACTGGAAGATAGAAGGCGTTGCATTTTATTGTTAGCTTAACAAGTTGTTTTCCAATAGAATAGACAGAAATATATTGCCTTTTGCTTCTCTTGTCAATATAATCCTTAAATTTGGTAGCATGAAGTGTTTGGTATTCAGTGAATCTCTTGTTTGTTGGTGTTGTGCAGTCAATGCAAGACAGCAGGTTCCCTGGGACAGGAAGAACACTTGGTTCTGCCAATAGTACCGCTGTAAATTCAGATTCGAACCTGCAGGCTAGACTCTTGGATAATAGCAACTCAGATTTGGCTGCAATGGGCACAGTAGATAGACCGTCAGATGGAAGGTATTAGGAAGACTTCTTCCATGCATCTTATAGATCATTGCTGAGACCAAAAACTGGTGTATCCTTGGTGATTCGTGATTCTTAACTTTTCTTCCAACTCGTGGAGTGTAGATTTAAGTATTCCCAAGAAAATTGCAAGAGTTCTTGATGTTATTAGATCATTGGAAAAATTTTCAGCTAGTGTGCTTTTCAGCTGTCCTCAAATTACTTGCTCTGTAATTCGTTTACCTTTTTGTGTAGTATTCCAGAGCCAAGTGACTTTAAAGTAAGCTATGGTCTTTAATCATTTTGCTACTGATGATTCAAGCATTGAAGAATGTAGAATGTACCAGATGTTAAAACTAAAAATATACAATATTACAATAATTTTTACACATACGCGCATATATGCATCGTTGTTCTCTTCTGGAACAAACATATTAAATTTCACCAAAATGATCTAGGGAGGGATGTTCAATTATATTGTTCTCAATGTCAATATCATTGATGTCCTTGCTTGCTTCATTGTATGTTCTACGCTTTTCTGCTATCATTCTTTGCATTTTTCTTCTATTGTGAGGTCATTTCTCTTCTATTCTTTGAATGCAGGCGGTCAGCTGCTGAAAATGCAGTTGCAGTGGCTGCAGAAGGCCCTACACGCCATCAGGTTTTTCTCATTATTTTAGGAGTAGCATTTAACTGTCTGTTTTCTTCTTGTTAATCTGGATCTTAACATCTTTGTGTTTCTATGGTCGTACTGGGTTCAGGATTCAGTTGCTTCTGATGAACAAATACAAAAACTTGTATCTATGGGTTTTGAGAAGGTAAATAAGACTCTTTACTGTTTTCTTCCCATATTATCCGTTTTGGATACTTACCTATGTGAGTATATGCACTAGGCCAATGTGAAAGTGTTATTTTAAAAAATTGTCTAATAAAATTAATTTTATGATCATATTTGCATAATATAAAGTCACTTTTGCATTAAATAATTGTCGACTAAAAATTACCTTCATGATCTTATATTCATAAATAAAGTCACTTTTATATCTATATTTCCTTAAATGTGATATGCTCTCAGTAGCCAGTTATATATACATAGCGTATGCAAGTAATTCCCGCTATTTAAAGGGAAGAACTGTGAGGATACAAGGTTGCATATGTTTAAAATGTAATCAAAACGACATTTGGAACTTCTGATTCAAAATTATTATACACTTGGCAGATGGGGATGGTAGGTTTACCCAAAAGGAAATATTGATATGTTCGAGTTGCTAATGCAAATGCCTTGGCTAATTTCAGACACAAGTAGAAGTCGCACTAGCAGCTGCTGATGGGGATCTTAATGTTGCTGTTGAGATTCTCATGAGCCAACAGGTGTGTATACAAGAGTTGTAACTTTAAAGTGATATTAATTCTTTTGGTTGTTTTGATTCTGAGTGCAGAGAACGTGCCAATTGATTTGCAGGGATAAACTGTGAAACAATTATCTCATTGCAGGGATAAACTCTGCCAACCTATTTGCAGTCTATTTTGTGGATACAATGTGCATTGATATCATTTTTGGCACAAGTAGGTCGAAAGAAGAAAATATTCTGAGCAAAAAACGATGGCTAACTTCTGTTACAAGAAAGCGCTAGAAGACTTATATTCTTGTAGGATATAGTTGCATGAATATTGAAATTCAATCAGAATCCGAAAGACTGCTGTTATACCGACAATTTTTAATTCCTTTTGTATCAATTTGATAATAGAATTGTTTATCATTTGGGCGACTTGTACAATTCTAGTATCTTTATGGCTGTATAAATGTTTTGACAAGTTGTACATTACATGTATACAATTCCTCGAGCTTGACACTTTGAATCCCATCCGCAAAATGCATGTGGTGTGTGATTGACTTGCTGAAATATTATTTTCAATGAACTTTGAATTGGTGTAAAATTGGAACTCATTTATAAAATTTAGGGTACAGTTGATTCATTTTTGAATTTATCAGATTTAGGATACAATTAATAGTTTTTAACACAGTTTGGGTAAAATTAAAAATTCATGCAAAAGTTTGAAATTTTTGTAATTAGGCTTTTTTCTCTTTTCAATGTTGCTTTCGTATCTTTTTAACCCCACTTTGTTATTTATATTATACGTATTTATAATATTTATCCCTTTAGTGAACTTTTTTAGATGATATACCTGACGAATTTTGTTTATGTATATGCATATATTTGTGTAATAAAGATGAAAAATATCTTTTTTTTTTTTTTTTTTTTTTTTTTTTTAACCCCACTTTGTTATTTATATTAAACGTATTAATAATATTTATCCCTTTAGTGGAACTTTTTTAGATGATATAAATCCTGACCGAATTTGTTTATGTATATGCATATATTTGGTGTAATAAAGATAAAAAATATCTTTTTTTTTTTTTTTTTTTTTTTTTTTTGGGTTGCAAATTAAGCCTCATTAATTTTTTTTTTTTTTTTTTTTTTTTTTTTGGGTGCAAATAAGCCTCATTAATGATTACAATCTGACCACTACTGCTAAAACTAAATAAGCCCTTAGTCATATCATTTCCATGTAAGATCGTGAGGTGCAGAATAAGATCCCATTAAAATTTCCCTTCTATTGTGATATTCTGAAGTCATCTGTTCCTTTCCCATCATCCTGCAATAGAACAAACAAGGAATACTTTCAATACATGATAATTTGCTAAACCAGCAGAACCAAAGTTCTTCTCCAGCCAAACTCAAGCAATTATAGGCGAGCCAATGAACCTTTATATTATTAATGCAACCTTTTGCAAAATGGCCTTGTTCTCCACATTTGAAGCAGGTAATAGATCCTTTTGAACCATTGTTTGGTTCAAACAAGTTTTTGCATTCCTTTCAGAATAACATCTGTTAGATTCGTCTGCATCACATTTTCATAAGTTTCAAACGAGTATAATTTGCAACTTACAGAACCCAAATGGCCGGATTCTCCACAGTTATAACAAGAAAGTTCTGTTGGACTCAAATTTGGAAAATCAGGACAGCACAGATGACCAAATTTCCTGCATACATAACATTGTATTTCCTGTTCACATCAGAAAAACAGCCGGCATTCAACATGTTTATGAAACTCCATTTCACATTGAGTTTAGCCTGACGTTTCAAAATTAAGTTTTGCCTGACATTCTTTTGACTGCTTTTGACAACTTGATGGTTCGGGGGAAAAAATGATTAATTTGACGCTTTAATAGCAGCTTGTCAAGAGTAACTTAACCATACTTCCAAAATGGAGATATAATGGAAAACACATTAAGAATTGATTTAAAAATTGTATATACCTTGAGATCATCAAGTGAAGAATCACTCCTACATGAAAACATGTCATGCCCAGAACCCCAGCATCGTAAACAGGTATCAGGGTTTGATTGGTTTTCTTGGTCTTTCTCGAGCTGGAGGATTCTCCTCTGCTAAGATATCAAAGATTACTTGCAATGAGTAATAATTGAAGTGTAAATTTCCATATCATTAATATTTCCTTTCCACTCAAGAGAACGCACAAAGTATAATCCTTCTTCTTGTTTCATTAACCCCTTTTCCAATATGCAAAATTTTAGCATAGAGACAGAGAAACTAAAAACTAAAAACAGAATTAATACCAAAAAAGTCCTTTTGAGTTTATTCAAAATGGAAGGTTGCATACTAGACCTGTTTGCAACGCCTCCAAATGTGCTCAGAACTCCCACAAACAAAACTCGGCTTCTTCTGGTTTCGCAGCTTACATCTTACTGCTACATAACCTTCTTCCCCACAAGAGGAGCATGCCACCCGGCAATCACTTGGAGGATCAAAGTATCTCGGTTTCTGCTAAGACTAGACTTGCTTATTTATAACCATAAGACTATTACCAAGATGAAAGTAATATAAACCAAATAGAAATCATACTCACAAGTAGCTGACGTAGCACAATATTGTCTTTCATCTCAAATGATTCTGTTTCAATGTTTTCAACTGTATTTATATGCTTTGGAGCTTCTTTTGCAGTATCAACCTGAACTGGAAAAACTTACAATCAGCCAACAGAGATAACTACTTTTAGGAATATATTTGTTAAACAGTAATAAAATACAATGTAATTAGATATATTTTTAGAATGAAAATGCATTTGATTACATTCCTTTACGGCCTTCATATCTAGTATGCATTGACAGACTTCAAATGCAACCACTACTCAACAGGGTTGGTTTAGTTAGTTGAGTTGGTAAAGATGGGGGCTTTGTTTCCTTATCAACTAGGTTCGACGCTATTGAGAAGCACTCTAAAAACAATTATCTAGACTGATGTGGGAGAGGGCACACTATTTAATTAAACTATCACATATGCCTAACATAGTAAAAGGGAAAAAAACCTATAGTTCAATGACATAGTGCTTTGATTGAAACCAGGATATAATATTAATGTAAGCTTCAAAGGCTCAAAGGTTTAATTCTGATGTGGGTAATCAAATAGGTAAAAGAAAAAGGTCAATCAAGTTACATTGCCTTTTGTCCCTTTGACTTCATTTCTGTCATTGAAAACTTCTCTGCAGGCACTTCAATAACTTCATTGCTCTTCAAAGAGGAAGAAAGATCAATTACATCAGCAAAGTTGAATTTCTCACTTACTGCCAACGCTTTTGCTTTTTCTAACGATATTTGATCTCCGTCCTTTTCACTTGATGTTGAAGCATCAATATAAAGCCAAGAAATATATGCAAAACATGGCTAATTAAGTTCTCAAATGCGATTATTAAGGATATTCTCAATATAAGTTTTGGTGTTGGCTCAAGAAACATAAGTTTTTCAATGATATCCCTAGAGCCAGATTATGTGTTAATAAAGTGATGTACTACTAACAAAATAAGAATCCAGCTAAAGATGATTTTATTCTAATGCTCTAATTGTTTTGATCCTTGCTTATTGCCTGCTCAATGCAAAATCACTAAATATTCATATAACAAAGCTCATGAAGCAAAAAATTGATATAAAAACATATGAAAAAGAATTGAATGATAAATTAAGAAATCACTACAGGTCAAATTAAGCAAAAGATTGGATATCAAAATTCAAGATTCAGTAATTTGAATCTTTAGGTTCTTATAGCTGTAATTGATTATAAATTTTCACAAATCATTTTATGAAAAAATAACAAATTCTAATAACTTTCTTCTATCATTATCATTTTCTCACTCTATAGGTATATATCTAGAAAATAAAGGAAAAAGAAATTCAATCGATATTAATAAAAAAAAAAAAAAGGAAATTAGTAGCAAAAACCTACACACAGCTTCAATTGTCATTGAATCTTGAATTAGAAACTGAATTAAAAAGAGAAATTAGAATGTAAAAAAGAAGAAAAGAACCTAGTTACCTTATTATTGTTTTTCTCATATCTCTTTCTCTTTCTGCTCTTACTATTGATAAGAGCTTGTGCCTCCAGCCATATTGTAGTTTTTCTCATCTCTACTCTCTCTCTCTCTCTTATTCACTTCTTGCTAGCTGCTATCATATGTTTATGGGTTTTTTCGTTCTCCTTGTTTCCTTCACTCCACTTTCATTTTCTCAGTCTTTACTGCGTTTTCTTTCTCTGGAAAATGAGATAGAAACTGGTTTTTTTTTTTTTTTAGATGCCTCTTTCTCTTCGTCACACTGTAAATATTACCAATACCCAAACCATATGTGTTTTACCGTTGCTGCTCTTTTCATGTTTTCTGATCAGCGGAATCTTCATGATTTGTTTGATTTAACTGAATATTAACTGACCATGTGACCATGACTAGGTACAGTTGAAAACCGTTTTTCTTTTTCTTTTTCTTTTGCGGTTATATGATTTACTCTTAAGTAGCTTTTATGGGAAAATTTTATTTCTGCTCATCCTGTACTCCAACAAATCTTCTAATGGTAATTACTATAAATAAGAGTTCTTTTCGTATGTTAAAAGATCTGCAAATCCTATTAACTATGATAGTTAATTTTATATTTAATCTATATGAGCAATGAAATATTATTTTTTATTCAATGGCTCTGTAATCTATATTCTCAAGATTTTGATATCATTAATAAATTTTACTTTTTAAAGAAATATAACATTTGCCATTAAATAAGAAATAAAACAGCAATACTGGTCTGCAGAATATTTATCTACAATGGCAGCCAGTTACCCCTTGGTTCACACTATCTCCAGGAAGCTCCTAATGGGTTAAGTACTTGGCTTGGCTTGTACATGATACTGTGGGTGTAGCCTACTCTAGGCTGTGTATTTCTTCTTAAGAGCAGCAGCTCTCATTTTATTCACAAAAAAAAAAAAAAAAAAAAAAAAAAAAAAAAAAAAAGCTCTCGATTTATTCACAAAAAAAAAAAAAAAAAAAAAAAAAAAAAAAAAAAGCAATACTGAGCCATTAATTTTTTTTAATTAAAAAAAAAAAAAAAAAAAAAAAAAAAAAAAAAAAAAGCAATACTGAGCCATAATTTTTTTAATTGAGGGTACGAGTAAAAAATATTCACCTTGTGTTAAAAAGTTTTTTTCCCTTTATAAGGCTTTTACGCACTGTACTTTCCCTTGGTCACTGTATTTTTCAATCGATGTGAATTATTATTATTATTTTTTTTTCAAAAACATAATTTTAGTATGGCAAGTGTAAATGACAACGCATATTCATGTTCCTATATATAAAAAAAAAAAGAAGAAGAAGAAGAAGTCCTAACCTGTTAAACCTACTGCATTATATAACGTTTATGTGATCACTGACACCCGCGAGACTGTGATACATGTTAAAGGCTGCGGATTAGATGGTAAGATCTTGTGGGCAGTGGAGCCACAGGCTTTGCTCACGGGACTTGTACTGACACTGAGTGTAAATAACCTTAACTGACATGACATCTTAACTCCACGTCGAAAATGAACATTAATATTCTCCATTCAGATTCACCACCAACTCAAACTTGGGTTGGGTTGGGCTTTCAGACATCCAAATTTGGCCGGCCCACTTCAAAGGAAAGAATGTCTTTTTATAGGGGTAATTACAAGTAAAGACCTCAGTTCAAATTGATTCTCATTGATGTCGCATCAAGCAAGAATTAAAACCTTAAGAAAATGTTCTTTTAGATTTATTTTTTTTGTTCCGATTGATCAGACGATCAAAGTACTAAAAAATACAATCTCTTATACACAATACAAATACTAAAAATTAACATTCAAATGCACACACAGTACATACATAGTTTAATAATGTCCAAAAATATTCACTACTTGTCGATTTCCTTTGGTGGCTTCACAATAAGGATGGGGCATTTTGCATGATGGGCACAATAGTAACTTACACTGCCCAACAATGCCCTGCAATTAGTAAAAATAAATTAGATTGAAACAATCAAATCTATTTTCTTATTGATAATAAAAGGATTTTGAACCGGGCGAACCGAGTAAGCCAAAGACTGAACGGCACAAAAGACCGAACGGCACAAAAGAACGAATAGCTAGTTAAAGCCGGTCAAAGCCTGAGCAATATCTAAATCCCATCTAAATATAGCGCTTAATGTAACTTAAATACAAAGCTCAATATAACGTTCAGTCAAACAGAGTTATTGAAAGTTATCAATGACCAATATTCTTGTTCAGTCAAACAAATTCATTGAAAGTTATTAATGACCAATATTCTTGTTCGGCTTTCATGATTAAGATTTTTATCATAAAATTCGTTTGGTCAGTTACAGTCTAAATGATACTATAAATAAGTGTATAAGAACAGGGAAAGATTATCAGATTTCAAATTAATAACAAACACATCCTTTGAGTATTTTCTCAGTTTGCTCTCGTCACTTATTATTGCATATGCATTTGTTTATAAAAATTAGATCAATTTTATAAAATCACTTCTCGGGTAATTATAATTATATCTGTAAAAACGTTACTTCGTGGAAAAGAGATTGAAACAATAAGAAACGAGACCTCTTAATTTTCCCAAGACCGCGGCTGCCAACCACAACGAGATCAACCTGCATTTGCTCTGTAGCTTTACAAATCATGTCCTTCGCATCCCCTTCAAGAATTAGACTTTCTGCTTTCACCTGCATAATTATATAGTTAATGCATTAATATTTAATTACTTGAGGATATAGTAATTAATGCCTCATTACTTAATTGGAAGATACTAATTAATTAGTAGTTACCATTTTTTCATCGCACATCTTTAATGCTCGGGAGACTATTGCTGCAGAATTTTCTTGCTGAGCTTTCTTCACAGAATCCGCTATTGAAGACGGTGTGTAAAGAGCTGCTTTAAAAAAAAAAAGGTAATTAATGAATTTATTTGCATGTTTTTTCATGTGCATATTGTATACAAGTAAATAACTATGTTAAGAATAATCGCTCTGAAAAGGATTAGTTTCTTGTCGTACCCTTAAAGGGAGGGTTAAAGAATATAAAAAAGTAAATAACTATGTACAGAAAAGGGTTTTAAAAATTAAACCTGCTCCAGCAGGACCAAGAGGGACGATACTAGTCTGGAAAGAATGTTGGACATGAACTAGTGTAACCATATCTGAATCTTGACTAACACCTTTGATTATAAGGTTATCAAGGGTCCATTTTAGAGCATAGAAGCTCGTATCACTCTCATCAAGTGCCACCATCACCTTCTTCTTCTGCCTCTGCTCCTGCTTCTGCTCCATTAACACTGCACCTTCTTCTGTCTCCATTCCCAAAGACTTATTTTCTCTCTCAATTTATGTCTCGGAGTTAGTTTTAATATGTACATATATGGTCAATAGGATACAGTTGAGGCGTCATGTGGAGTCTTTGTTTGATTGAAATTTGGACACATGGTGTTCATGCAGGTGCAAAGTTACAAACGTTTCATGCATGGAAAAACAAATGGCTGAGCTCAGCTGCGAGGATTATGTTTGTTAAAATGCCTAGCTTTAACGGGAATTTTCATTTGCTACTTATATCTTGTCAGTCTTTGCATTTGTACGGGGAGTTAAAGATCTCTGATTTACATCACCTGTTGAAGTTAATCATATCTATAATTAAATTATATTTTTTATCTTTCTAAAATTAACTATTTAATCCTTTAAAAAAAAAAAATACAATCATACATCCTCTTGCTCTGGTCTCATTTAGCTAATAAGTCCTTCGGTTTAAAATTTATAGTTTTGCTATTGATTTTCAATAGAAAGACCAAAATGCCGTTTATTCTATTCCTGCTGCACTTATATAAACAAATTTTTTAATAAATTAAAAAATTAAGTTTTGACTTAGCATATAAAGTTTTTTAATCTTTTTCATAATCACTAAGATGTATTTTTTTGAATTGTCTCAAATCATAGACGAAGTAATATATTTTAAAAAATATATTAAATAGTTGACTTTAGAAATTCGTCCCAAGATAAACATTTTAGTCCTTAAGTTGCAATATTAAATTATTCTATTTATAGTCATTAAAAATTATAAAATGACTTGAACAGTTTGGTCTATACTGCCATTAGTCTTTGATCGTACCTAAAATATTTTTCAAGCGTCGTCTTCAAACACTCCTTCTACGCATTCTAGAAAGGGATTTGAAATTCTTCCGTTTCCTCTAATTCCAGGAAATTGGAAAAGCAGACCTTTGACAGAATGAATTACATTCAATAACAGAAAAAAATACACATTTTTTTAATTTTATATTTTCCCATACAGCTCATAGAAATAAAATTACATATTTAGGCCCCCCACCCCCCCCCCCCCATACAGGCTCATAGAAATAAAATTACAATATTTAGGCCCCCCACCCCCCCCCCCCCCAACCAAAAAAAAAAAAAAAAAAAAAAAAAAAAAATACTGTTATGATTTCCCCTAAGTTATAAAACATTATACTGCAAACATGATAAATACGCACATCCGACCCAACTGTTGGTTTTCAATTCTAATGTCTAATCTGAAAGGCCCTTCTTCAGAAACTGATTTGGTACTATTGTTTCGAGCCAATTCGATACAGATTTGGAGTGGTAGAAACATGAAATCGGACACAACCGGTCATGGTCATTCCGGTCCAGTTCAAATCAAAATTCTCAACCTGATTTTAATTCAAACCAGACCCGTAATTACCTTACCTTAGCCCAAGAAAACAGGGTTGATTACCAGGATAACTACTTAAATGTTAAAACAAGTAAACAAAGCTAAACTATAGTTTACATTTTGTAATAGTAATTGTGACCAAAATATTCACTGGTTGCTGGCGGTCTCCTTTGGTGGCTTCACGATAAGGATGGGACATTTTGCATGATGGGCACAATAGTCACTTACACTGCCCAAAAATGCCCTGCAATTAGTGAAACAGGTAAAATTAATTTCCATTAATTGAGAAGGCTAAGAATAAAAAACTGGTAAAATACTCGTGTGCCCATTCAATTATTCCATTTGCAACAATATTACTATTATATTTTAAATATATTATGTACAATTATAATCCTTTTATTTACTAATAAAAAGCGTTAAAAATGGTAAATATACAAAAATGTCCTGCAGATCCGGTATCCGAAAATCACTCATCTCGGACTGCATCGAAATCACTCATCTCGCACTGCGTCGTCGAACTTGAATACCACAGAGTCGGGCTTGAATTCCTCGAGGTAGAGTCCATGTAGAGGTGACTCGAGGTAGAGTCCATGTAGAGGTGACTCGAGGTAGGGTGGCGACGGTTCCGGAACTGCAGGTTTCGATTTGAGAACCAAACCGAAAATTAACGGTTTCGGTTCCTCAACGGTTCTAAAATCGAGGATTTTGGCCCGTTCTTCGGCTGGTTTTCCGACAGTTCCAGCCAGTTTCTGACAGAACTAGAATCTTCGGTTCTAACTGGAGCTGGAACCGCCAGCTCATAGTTCCAAACTGGTGGAACCGAAATCAAATCGGTTTGGATGGGTTCTGGTTCCGGTTCGGACCGGTTCCAAACCTATGATTCTGGTCCGAAAACCTGATTTTGGCCACCCTAACTCGAGGTGACTCTCTTTGCATAATAATTTTCATGCCCAAAACTCAAACTCCAAAACTCTCCAAACCTTTTGTTAAAGAGAAAACTCAAACTCCAAATTTCTTGTTAAAAGAGAAAGTATTCCGACCACTCCATGATTACTCCATATGAATGGTTGGTATGGAATCCAGTTGTTTTAGGTATAAAAACTCTACTATAAATATACCAAATACAAAAAAAAAAAAAAAAAAAAAAAAAAAAAAAAAAAATATACCAAATACAAAAAAAAAAAAAAAAAAAAAAAAAAAAAAAAAATTGTTTTTAGGTATACTAAACACTCTACTATAAAGTATATTCGCAAAATACAAAAAAAAAAAGAAAAATAAAAAAAAAAAAAAGTAGATTTGATAATCTTCTTCAAAAAAAAAAAACAAAAGGAGAATAATGCTATTTAATACAATCAAAAAAAAAAAAAAAAAAAGGAGATATGCTAATTTAAACAATAAGAACTAAGAAATAATTAATGACCTCTTAATTTTGCCAAGGCCACGGCTGCCAACAACAAGCAGATCAACATCCATTTGCTCTGTAGCCTGACTAATCTTGTCCTTTGCATCCCCTTCAAGAATCAGAGTTTCTGCTTTGATCTGTATAATTTAAATTTTAATTAATCCAACTTACAATATTTATTATACTATTTTCAAAAAAAAAAAAAGCTAAATAATAAAAAATAACAATTACCATCTTTTCATTGCACATCTTTAATGCTCGAGAGAGTATTGCTGCAGAATTTTCAGCTTGTGCTTTCCTTACAGACTCCATTAGCGTCGTTGGTGGGTAGAAAGCTGCTGGATTAATTAAGAAACCTGTAAGTCTCAAAAATAATTAAATAACTAAAACCTCTCCTTATTTCTAAAAATAAATTAAAAAAAGAAAAAACCTGCTCCACCGGGACCAACAGGGTAAAAACTGGGTTGGAAGGGTTGTTGAACATGAACCAAAGTGACCAAACCAGATTCCTGTAGACTAGGTTCATTTGTTGCACTAACACCATCGATAAGGTTATCAAGACTCCATTGAAGTGCATAAAAGCTTCCATCACTTTCATCAAGTGCTACCATCACTTTCATCTTCTGTCTCTGCCCTACTACTACCCTTGCACTTGTAGCTCCACTTTCCATTTCGCTGGTTAATTATTATTTTTCTTTATAATAATGATTATATAGCAGATATTTTATGTATATATGTATTTTTCATGTTCATATGTATATATATTGGATAGAGTTTTTAAGGTGGATTTTGTTTAATTAAAAATTGGACACGTGGTGTTCATGCAGATGCAACGTTCCAAATGTGCCATGACTTATGTGTAAGACAGTGGTAGATTTGAGATATTATATATAAAAATAAAAAAATTGAGATTATTTTGAAAAAAAACAAAATTAGGGTGTTTTAGGGATTAAATTGATTTTAGGGTGTTTTGTGAAAAACCTGAAAAATTAAGGATATATCTGATGATTAAGCCGTATGCACAAGTGTTCAATTATTTGTATTTTTATATTCAAGGTTATAAGTTACTTCCAAACTTAATTACCACCAAAATTTTACAAAATAAAAAATAATTCTTTCCGTTATTAAAATATAAAAATTAAAATTGTATTTTTAATACTTGCCATTTATGTTAATTAAAATAATCAATTACTAAGTATATTTTTGATTCATTTAAAGGACTATAAATAGTAGTTTAATAGTAACTGTGATGGATTAAGTATTAAAAAAAAAAAAAAAGGGAATAGTATCTAACCCTAGAATACACTTTTTGACAAAAAAAAAATTAAATAATTTAAATGGAATATACCTAAAATAAATCAAGAAGAAAGACAGGCGAATAATAGTAAGAATTTTCCTAAAAAGGAAACTATGGCGTTGTTCAGTAATAGCATTTTGGCTAAAGTCAAAATACTACATCTTTGAATTATACTATTTAATAGCATAATATTTATAGTATCATTTAGAAATCGAGAGAATGCTTGATTAAATGTTACTCTAACGTTTAGCATTTGATGATAATTAATTAAACTTTTTAAATTATTTTATATTAATATCTAATCAAATAACTACTCCCACTAAACACTTTTATTTCACATCACTATATATCAATAATTAACCATTAGTAACTTGTCGATCAGGTGTAATCTGGTTAGTTTTCATACCTCTTATTGAAGACGTAGGGAGTAAGATATCTCGAGTTCGAGGCATTTTCAATGTTTTCTGAGTAATTAATATATAATTTTGTGTACTTCCTCCATTCAAATTTTTCTGTCATTTTTAGAAGTTACTTTGGACATGTTCGGTAATTATATATTAATATATAATATATAATTTTGTTGAAGACGTAGAGAGTGAGATATTTCGAATTCGAAGCATTTTCAATGTTTTCTGAGTAATTAATATATAATTTTGTGTACTTCCTCCATTCAAATTTTTCTGTCATTTTTAGAAGTTACTTTGGACATGTTCGGTAATTATATATTAATATATAATATATAATTTTGTTGAAGACGTAGAGAGTGAGATATTTCGAATTCGAAGCATTTTCAATGTTTTCTGAGTAATTAATAGTAATGTTGGCGATTTTACAAGCGGTTACATATTTTAATAGTTGTTAACTGCTTTAATAACTATTAGCTGTTTATATAACTGTTTAGAGTAAAAATGTTCGGTAAAAATAGTTGTTTGATTAGCTCTTGAATTTAAAATGATAAAAAGAGACATTTAAATATTGAGTTATAATTTTAACTTATAGGAGAACATTAAACCAAGTATATTTAATAAAATAATTATAGACAATAAAATAAAAAAATATTATTAATTATAAGATTAGACTTCAATTTTTTTTGAAAATGATAAAGTTAGACTTTAATTAGGATTGATTTTTCTTTAAAAAAAGCTAAATAATATGATCATATGTTATTGGATATTGATTTGAGTTCATGAAAATCAAATAAAAGAAACAAAATCCTAAAATAAATAATAAAAAAAGAACTTAAATATATCTGAACTTCCACGTGAACAAATTTTGATCAGTGAAAAAAAATAATTTTAATTTTGGATTTGATACCAATTTAGATTAATGGTGTTGGGATCCACAAATTCCGATTAATTGAAAGTTTTGAGGACCACATTATATCCATTTTTTTAATTTTTTTAGAATATTTTCCTTTAATTAATTTATGTTGAGATACAGAGGTATATAGGGATATCTCATAATCTTATAGTACGTGCACTTCTTCTGTTTATAGAAGGAAATCATCCAACATGTTTTACAGAAATTGAAAATGATCTAAGACCATATTATGTGACAATCAATATTTACGGAAAATAAGAAAACCTAAAAAAAGTCTAATTTATCACTTTAAACATACGTTCTCAATAAAATAATAAAGCAAAATGTAATTTAATTCTTTATCAAACAATTTTCTTTCCCTCCTTAAAAAAACTTATCCAAACATTAAAAGAAGAACAAACTTTCTTTCAATAATATTTTCTTTCCTTTATTTTCCCATTTATTTTCTTACCTCTCTTAAAAACTTTTCGAAATCTTCTAATAAAAGACCCTGAATTTCATGAATAAAAAAAAAAAAACCTGAATTTGCAAATAAGGCGTTTAAATTTTAAATACTTGAACACCTTATGTTAAGCCAAAACGAAAGATTATTATTAGTCATTTTTAACGCAATACATCATTGATTGTTTATTTTTTAAAATAAAGTAAGGCCATAAACACATCCAACAAATTAAATTAAAAAATATTTATTATACTAAATCATTGGCTCAATCATAAAAAAAAAAAAAAAAAAAAAAAAAAGGAATTATTTTTTACCTCTAAATAAGGGTCCACCCAGTTCACTGACCGAGTCTTATTTTACTCAAATATTACATTAAGTCTTAAGGGGAAACACTTTCATTTTGAATTTTTTCCATCAATAAAGATCATGTACCCGACCTCTTAGTTAAAGAATATGAATTCTAATTATTAAGAATGTCATTTTTTAATTTCTTTTGGTTAATTTTGGCTCATGAAATGGGAAGTATACAGGAAGCTCAAATGATTTTAGGATGCTAAGAGCTGACAATTCTATTTGCTTTTTTTTTTTTTTTTCCTTTTTGAAAAAAGAAGTTGATCATATTCTGACTGGTGAAATGGGATGATAATGATCTTTTCTCTCCTAATAAGAAATATCTGAGTTTGAATCTTGGATCTAGAATCCCTTTAAACACTTGAGGAAGACCTATTTGCCCCTTTATGAACATTCCTTAGGCAAATCTGGATTAATTACTTTGTGAACCAAGTTTGAGTTTCATTTCCTTTTGCATTAACTTGATTCAATAACAACTTTATGAGATAATTGTTGTATTGGACTAATTTAATTTAATTTATTTGACGATTTTTATAATAAAAATGGAAATTTTTGGGAAAAAAAAATTACGTGTTTACGTGAAAATGGAAGTCAAGCCACGATATCGTGCACTTATCAATTTGAAAAGTTTGAAGTTAGAACTTTCTAATTTATTTTGTTGACCATTTGATGTTTTAAAGAGGTTGTGTTGGACCGAGAATCTATTAGATTTTAAAAGATTTTAAAATTTCAATGGTATTCAATTTAGATTATTTTAGAATCTATTAAAATTTTGTGATGTTAAATTCAGACTCATATAAAATCTATAAAAATATGATAATATTCAATTATGGCTTTTTAAAAGTCCATATAAATTTAATAGTATTAAAAAAATTTACTGATTTAGAAAGATTTTATAAAATTATTGATTTCGTTGGATTTTAAAGTGTTATGTATGAATAAAAGAGTTATTCACAAATCCATCATCCAACCCAAAGATTTCAATTCAAAAATCTTTTAAAATCTAACCTACTCTAGATCCAATATACCCTTTAATAGAATAAAAGCAAAGTGAGTACCCGCGAATTTTAAACTATCTGTATAGGTTTTCGTTTAAAATTTTACTATCTGTATCTATTCTAAACTCATTTAAATACCTATTTTAAGTATCTATAATCGAACTCGTTTAAATATTTACTACTTGTTTCCATTTAAAGACCCATTGAAAATATCTCTTAAATGGATATGGTACCCGCGAATATTTAACTATCCAAATTTCGAACTTATTTAAAATACATTTGTTTTATATATATAAATAATGGATAGAGTATCTAGTACTGAACCTGTTTAATATAGCAGTTAACGAAAGCGAGATTGTCGTTGACGACGCTGGCCATTGCAAACCTTTCACTGTCGATTTGTAATAAGTTGTTAAATAAGAAAATAACGATTTTGGAGAAGATGACGTATTTTAATTTTTAGTCCCTCATTGTTTTCAATTTTTCATTTGGCTCTAAAACCTTTAATTTGTTCAATTAGGTTCTAAAATGAATTTTGATTGGATATATAAAAATTATTATGATTCCATCAAAATCTATAAAAAAAAGTTCCACCAATTTCATAAAACTTTTATTATTTAATTTATATCTATTTTATATTAATTTTATTATAAATCATAATATTTTGGACGACCTTAACAAAGTAGAAGAAAAATATTTTATGAAATAATAAACTAATAAAATAATAAAATTTCTTAAAACGAGGATTTGATTGACTTAACTTATTACATTTATATATTATAGATAGATAGCTAGTATAGTAATAAATATATTAAGGGAAATTTATTATTTAGTCCCTCAGGTTTTACAAAATTAACCAATTAATCCAAGGTTTTGTCAAAATATCTAGCTAGTCCCTCAGGTTTAATTCCGTCTAATTAAAAGGTTCTTCCGTCCGAAAAGTCTGTTTTTTTCGGTTAATTATAGACTAAAAGACTAAAACACCCCTCCCTAGCTGACGTGGACCATAAGGGAAAATTATTATCTAGTCCCTCAGTTTTACATAATTATCTAACTAATCCCAAGTTTTGCGCAAATATCTCTAACATAATCCCTCAGGTTTTAACTCCGTGCTAATTGAAAAGGTTCTTCCGTCCAAAAATGTTAGTTTGCCGTTAATTATAGACTAAAAGACTAAAACACATCTCCCTAGCTGACGTGGGACCAGTATTGGAACGATAAGGAGGAATTGTATAAACTAAAAGACTAAATAATAATTTTCCCTATAAAGTCGATGAGACATAATCATCTCTTCTTCCCTTAAAGTGGTTTAATTTTAGATTATGAA